AATCGCTCTCATACAAAACGCAAAATGAATTTTTTCCTAAAAGAGATCAGAGAGAGTTTTTCGTAGTAGAAAATGTAAACGATATATCTCTTTGACACGATGATGCGACAATATTACCGTAATTTGCACTTTCTGCTTCTGTATATGTATAAATGAGAAAGAAATGTTTCGGGAGGGAAAATTTTTTACGTATTGGGACGTTTAATTTTAATATAAAATTTATCATGTTAAACATGATTATGTAACATTCTACGAGAATATTTACATGATTTTTTGCTGTTGTATTCAAACAAGAAAGAAATATCGTAGAGGAGAAGAATTTGCTTGTATCCGAATGGATGATTTTGTCCCACCCTTCTCTATCGAGCGAGAGATGAGTTTCACCGTCGAGCAGACAGCGTACTGCAGAACCATCCGGGGGACCATCCCACGGGAGAACGTGCTTACCCGTTAAACACAGGTGCTAGGAAAACTTGCCGTCAGTGCACAAATCAGGTACCCAATGGTAATGTATGCACAGTTATGTGAGTATCGATTATGAATAAGCACGGTCATGAATTAAGTATCTTATCACAGTAAAACAGATGTCGAAACTTCAGCATAATTTGAGAGGTACACTTCTAATATTAGAAACTTGAGAAAAAATGTATTTCTTATGCTGTTATATCCAAGGTTGGGAAAGTTGCTTTTTAAAAGTAATTAGTTACAGTTACAGTTCCCTTTGCTGAAAATATAACTAGTTACAGTTACAAGTAACTCGTTACAGTTACAGTTATTTAAAAAAGTTACTTAAAAATAACGAGTCGTTACTTTTAAGTTACTTTCTTGAAATGACTGTAAATTATTATTGTAAATACAAAAATCTTACATTTTAAGCTTTACTAAAATGTAAGTATTGAATTTTATAATTAATATCTATCACATTAATTAGTCAATCCACTTGACAAATTCCAAATCTGTATTTAATATAATAAAAATTTAATGATAACCTTGTAGAGATAAAAAAAATTAATCATAAATACGGTTTATAAATACGTTGATAAATTTTCCAAATAGCACAGAGAATTTAAAGAGAATTCAGTCGTATGTCACCAATTATGAGTTTATTTTTAAATGCAAAATTCTCTTCACTGAATTAAACTCTGAAGAATTCTTTTTGCATCTGAAAATAAACTCAGAATTGTGACACACGACTTTCTTAATTTTTGAATTCTCTATGCTATTTGAGTTATTAAATAATATACGATTACTATATAATTTTAATTTTATTTTACGTTCCTCAAGTAACTATTAAAATAACTGTTAAAAAAGTTACAAGTTAATAAAAATAAATAACTAAGTTAAGTTACAGTTACCAAAAAAATATAACTGTAACTGTAACTTCGTTACAAGTAACGAGTTACTTCCCAATCCTGGTTATATCTCGTCACAAATAATTGTTTTTGCGTACGTATACCGCAACGGAACTGTATCATTCTCGATCTATGTGATACAATAGAAAAGTATGCACACGACTCACCACATTGACGAAATCCTGGAAAGTCACTGCTTGGACACGCGATTCTTTTGCCCTGGCAAGAAGTATGTCACGTTTGTTCGTCGGTATCTCCGTCTTCCATTCGGTACTCCTTAGGGCTGCCAGAAAGTCCTCCAGCGGTATCTCTCCGAAACCCTCTGGATCAAACTAGCGCGAGAGACAAAAATCAACAAGTCTGATTCTCATCGGACCATATTGTTTTTAGTAAAATGGCAGTAATAACATGTATATAAGGTTACTAGCATTCTAACATCGGTAGAATTTAATAAAAAAAAATTATTTTCTTTAAAGCATACGCACCTTGTCGAAGAGCATACGCCATTTCTGTAACATAGTAAAAAGAAAACGAGATTCATATATTAGTTAGAACATTTAAAGTAACTCTATTACAAAGAGAATATTTCGTTTATAAACAAAATTAAACAACTAACTGCATTTTAATTTGATATTCAGACTTGATCTTCAAGTCTCGCTTAATCTTTGAAAAATATAAAAATCAAAAAATATCTACAGCTTAGTCAACGTTACGTGCATCCGTTAGACAAATGACGATAAAATAAAAATTTTGTTAGTAAGTGATAGTAGTAAGTTCTTAAGGGGATGCTGAACATAAAAACTTTACCAACACAACACTTTACCGACTTTTTTCCGCAAAGTTTATCTCTTGTTGCTTGCACAGAAATACAAACGCTTTTACATAACAAAAGTACAGGCAAAAATAAATTGGAGCATTGCTCAATATGTGACGAAAACGAAAAAAAGATTTTTAAAGTTAAATTCTGAGTTGTCAGTTAGTGCAATATTTGTTTAATATAAAAATTCCGCACGTTGTACAAACCGAAACTGCGGATACTCCAATTAAGAAAATTTCAATGATCATTACGATACTTTCAGAATTTAGTTTTAGATGCCAAAAAAGATACGATAAATTTGCAGAAAAACTTATGATTATATGCGGTTTTCTGAAAACTATAATAAAGTAGAGTAGAAAAAGAATTAGTTCATGGATATTTTTCCAGTGAGCGCTGTACTTTTTTTCGCACATTTTACAACGTCAGAATATTCAGCGTACATATATATTTTCCTCAGTCCACGCAACTGTTTATCGCGATGTTACGGCACTATATACATATATATGTATATATGTATATATATATAGAGAGAGAACTCCAGGCAAAATCATGATATTTCTGCAAAGATTACATCATATTGATTGCACTGAATTAAAAACTACTTTGCATGGTGAAAAGACGTGCGAAAATAAAGTAGAGCATTTCTCAATATGAGGCGAAAACAATAAGGAGCAATTACTATCATGACACCGAATCCTTCTGCAAAGATTACTTCTTTCTACCTGCGCCGAATTAGAAATCCTTTTGCGTGGTGAAACTACGTGCAAAAATGAAGCGGAGCATTCGTCAATATAAATATTTAGAGCACATTTTGGCAACACATTTTTCTGCTCTACAATATTAATTTAATATTATAAATTATAAATATTAATTACTTAATAATATTTATTACTTATATTTAATATTTATTATAAATTTAAAAATAATTTATTTATTATAAATTTAAAATTAGAATATTTATTATTTATTTATCTTATTAATGCTGCATTTATGTGCCATTTACTCTAATAAAAATGTGTAGATAAAAGAAAATAAATATTATATATAAATATTTAAAAATGTGTACATATGTATATATACTTCGAATATTAATAGAAATTACAAACTTCTTACTATTGTATTTCCAGAACAAAATGGTCAATAATAAATCTTAAATTTTTAGTATAATACCTGTATATTAATTCTTAATATCATAGTAGCCATTCCATTGAATTTTAAGTATGATTTAGAAAAAAATAAAAATAAAATATTAACTTTAAGGAATACGTACAAAAAGTAATAACTTAAACAAATACTTTCGTTCTCTAACGTCAATCTTCATCATATGATATATCATATGATATATCATTTGATATATAATGTAAGCGCCCACGAGATAAGAATAAAAAGCCATCAGCCTTACAGGATTTGGCGTATATGAAAAATTTTACTGTTTGATAATCTCTTGTTGGTAAATTTTATGTCAAATTAACATAAATGATAATCCTAAAACACAATTTTACAACAATATATTGCATTATCTGCATTGTCTGCTAGCTCTGCCTCAGTAAAAAAACATCTAGATAATTGTAAATTATATATAAAATAAATACTCCCTTATTATGCCTTAAAGATCTAATATACAAATATTCAATAATGTTATCCTTTTTTAACTACCTCCAAGTTTTTCCAGGTGTTTTTTGTGGTTACGAAAATTCAGTCATGTGGACTGAATGTCATTAACCCTTCGTATACATACTGGGTGGTTACCACCCATAACTAAAATTCAGCGCTCTGTATCTTTTAAGTACCGTGATAAATAGAACTACTATCGCCACCTAATTGTAATTTGGGGTGTTAACTATACTTTGATTTCACTCAGCTAGCAAAATAAGCGTTAGTTAGCTTCTGGCAGCCGTCTAAAGTGAAAATAATGGAACTTTGATATTCAAAATAAATATACTTTTTCCAGAGATGACTTACGAGACAATTTTTTCCTTAGAGATAAACATTTCAACAATAAAATGCCAAATTTTTACTTAAAAATAATAAAAATTACAAGTTTATAAATTTTTTTGCAAAAACTCATTTTTTTTTAAATCGCAAAATATAATAATTTTTTTAATATATTTCTTAAATTTTAATACCAAAGGTATATAAATACTTTTCTATAAACATTAAAGTTAATCCATGAATTTTTTCAGAATTTTAGCATAAATATTTTAAAAGATACAGCTGTTTGAAAATTTCCATGGGTGGCAACCATTCAGTGTGTATGCGAAGGTTGAAAAAATAAGTGTGTACACGAAGGGTTAATAGGGAGTTTTTGCAAACATACGATATAGATACGGTAAATGCTAAAATGATGTCATCGAGTCAAAAAACCAAACTGCGCATCGGTCACCTTAACGCTATTTAGATAACGTGCGAACGTTATTTCTGAAAAATAGCATTCACGAGTAACGTCGACGTTATGGCTACCAAAATGAAATCTGAACGATTGAGATTCACAAATCAAGATGATCTCATACTTTTAAAGGAATGCTGAAGCTGAAAACTTTATCGACAGAACACTGACATTTTTCTACAAAGTTTACGTCGTATTGGTTATACAGAATTACAAATGCTTTTACGCAATGAAAGTACGTGCAAAAATAAATAGGAGTATTGCTCGATATGTGACGAAAATGAACAAAAAATTTTAATGTAAGATCTTAAGCTGTCAGTTAGCGTAATATTTGCCTAATCCAAAAGTTCCGTTGCTTGTATATACTGAAAGTATGGATGCTCCAAACAGAATTTTGGAATTCTGTTCTTCAATCAATTTTGAAATAAATGTTCTTCAAAATTTTGAAGAACATTGCTCTACCTTCGCATCTGTATTTGGAAGCTTAAAAATATCGAAAAAGTTTGCAGAAAGTTTCTACACATATATGATTAAGTTTTCCGTTGAATATGATAAAACAAAGCAATATAAATTGCTTGTAATATAAGTTCTGTATATACAAGAAATACGAAAAGGATAGCGTGATTATGT